TTCCGACTTCCTCTGTGAATGTCATGGACCACTACGGTTATCAGAGGAGCAGCAAGCTTTGCATTCTGATATTCCGAAGGAGTCTAGGATCATGTTGCAACCAGGAAAGAATGCTGAAGGACATTGGACCAATGCGAAACTCGTGGAGCAACTCAGAGATAGGGCCATTCCAATTTTTCAAATCCTGCATCCAAACTGTGATGGGCTTTCGCTTTTGATAACTCCCAAAATCATCACGCGATGGCCCCAGATGCGATAGTGGCCACATAACTGAACCTAAGTGATGGAGGGAACATGTGTCTTCAATGCGCAGCGGCTGGTTTATCGACGACCGAGGAGCAAAGGTTGAACAATGTATGCAGACCGAAGACGGTGTGCAGAAAGGCCTCCGAACAATACTTATGGAACGCAATCTATGGAATCCAGGCATGAGCGCAAAAGAAGCTCGAGAGACCCTCTCCAAACAGCCTGATTTCGAAAGCCAAAAGGAATGGCTAGAGGAAACTGTAGTGGAAAATCAACCGGGTTTGGCAATCATATTCTATCCCAAGTTCCACTGTGAGTTCAACTTCATCGAGTTATATTGGGGATACTGCAAACGCTTCTTGAGAACTAATTGTGATTATTCTTGGAAAGGGCTTCTGAATCTACTGCCTGTGGCATTAGAGAATGTGCCGATTTCTTCGATCCGTAAATTTGCCCGCAAATGCTTCCGTTACATGGATGCATATCGTGCTAAAAACGGACAGTACCTGACACAGCGTCAGATAGAATATGCAGTACGTCGTTACAAAGGCCACCGAACTATACCGCAATCTGTTTTAGATGATCTTGATTGAAAAAATTCACGAAAAAATAAAAAAATTGCTTGCGCGGCCTTCTAAACCTGCAAAAACCAATTGAGACAGTTGTAGAGTTAAGATGTTCGCTACCATATTAGGGTTCGTGTAATTCCGTTACACACTCCGTCACCCTCATTCTTACCGAGTAGCAATCATCATGGTGCCCTTGAGCTTGCGATGTGGTTGTATATCGTAAGAGTACTAGGGTGCCTGATAGGATTTAAGTGTTACTCTCAAATTGATTCGCAGGAAATGCACAAGATGACTCCCAGAAGTAATGTAACAAATTTTTGACAAACGTATCTTTGCAGAAGAGTCTGTATAGTTTAGCCAAAGTATATTTCCTACAGATTAAAATATCATTTGAAAAAAAATCTATTTATTGCGCAAGATTGCTTTGCCTTGAGTATTTTTACAGAATTGCATCATACATGACTAAAAATTTAATGCTCCTTTTTCTACTGCGTACAAGTGCGAATCTCATAGATAAAGAAATTGAAAGTTATTTTCACTGAGCAAACGATATTTACTAAGCTTTGTCTTCATCCGTCAATTTTACAAATCGATCGGGTCAATAGCTCAAAAGTCAAGAGCTTAAGTATTGGCATACGGTCGTCATCGTCATATTCCGAAAATCAATCACAACCGTGTACCAATACGATATAGTTTGACAAATGCAACCCCTCCCAGAGAAATATTGGAATGCTGTCAAAGCTCCAGACATTCCTACGATGATATCTGTGTACATTTCACTACGCAATTTGCCTATCCTTGACCGCGACGTAAGGATGACCAACGAATTCTTGTACGCCTGCACATACGATACAGTTGCATACTCAAGCTTACACTCTTGCACCCTGTTCCATGATAGGTATACTGACTGTGTGGATACTGCTGTGCTGGATGTTGACAGCACGTACAGGAAATCAAATGGAGAACATCAACACCACCGCGTCATGAGCACGCTTTCCGTTGTAGCAGTGACGTATTTCTTCGGCTGCGGTGGCCCACTAGGCTCAGAGCCTATCATCTCTTCAGCAGGCCCTGCGATCGGTCTTCCAGCCATGTTGCTCTACCCTCTTCTCATAACCGGACCGTATGCCTTCATAGTCGCAGAGCTATGTTGTGCGTTTCCAGAAGATGGCGGATTCACAGTGTGGGTTTTTAACTCTTGTGGTCCGTTTTGGGGCTTTCAGGTCGGCTGGTGGTCCTTTGTTGCTGGTGTCTTCAACACAGCCTTGCTGCCCGGTTTTCTGTTGCAGATATTAGATGACTACTACAGCCTCTCCATCTCATCAGGCTTTGCTTCGTACCTCGTCAAAGTGGCGATTGCAATTTTGCTAACACTCCCCTGTCTTATTGGCACTCGGACTGTATCGCGCACTTGTGTGCTATTACTGGCTTGTGTTCTAATTCCCGTTCTTGTTTTCACTATATGGGGCTACTCGCGAGCGCGAGACTTTGGTGATCTTTTTGAAGTCCGACACGAAATGAACATTATCCATGAGAATCGAACAGACGACGAGCAGGTTGGTTCAATCAAAATTGACTGGGCCTTGCTGCTTAACACATTATTTTGGGCCTTTGACGGTATCAATATGGCTTCTGTGTTTGGCGGTGAGGTATCAAATCCAGCACGAGTCTACCCGCGAGCCATCGCATTTACTGTCGCCTTGACGCTTTTGACGTACGTGATCCCTATTCCTGCTGCTATCCTCGTGGACGACCCCAATTGGAGGTACTTTAACCGTGATTCCTACCCAGCACTCGCTGATGCTATCGGAGGTTACGTACTTAAGGCTGTCTTTGCTTTTTCGTCGTGTTGTTCCGTTGCGGGACTGTTCGTCTCTGGCATTTTCTGCAAGTCGTTTCAACTTTCCGGCATGAGTGATGTGCAGCTTTTGCCAAACTGCTTTGCACGACGTAGCACTCGTTTTAATGCTCCGTATGTGTCCATAACTGTTACACTTGTTTTCACAATAGCGTTACTAGGCATTGAGTTTAAAGCGCTCTTGCTCATGACCAATGCGTTTGCGGGAGCAGTTCAACTTGTGATCATCTTTGCAGCTGTGCGACTTCGGAAACAACTTCCATATATTCCTCGACCCGTTCGCGTCCCCGGTGGTACTCGCGTGCTCGCTGCATTGGCTGGACTGCCGACAATTGTACTTTGTTACATTGTTTTTGACACATTTCGTAGCGTAATTCCAACGCTCACAGTTTTAGCATTCCTTGTTCCAGGTTTATTTTGTGGCCTATACGAGCGACGTCACAATCAAATACGGCGCAATTGGACTGCGGAGCGACTCTGATAGCTCTCGAACTGTAGCCATCTAAATGTTAAAACGAAAAAGGTTTTGATTCTGAGCTATTGGATTGGTCAATAAATATGATACAAACTTAATGAGCAACGTAGGCAAAGCACCTATTCCAGGACTATGGCCAGAGCTATTATCTCCTCTGTACGTACTACCTCTCACCCATTTCAGCTAAAGTCTCCAACCAGTACTTTAATGACTGATTGCTTTCCCTCATACCGACTTGAAGATACTTGAAGCACAGCTGGGCAAGTACGTTGACGGATTACGTAGCGACTCGCTGGTTGTCGGTCTATGGAGTGGTGAGCTAGAACTGCGTGACCTTAAACTCAAACCGCATGCATTGGCTGAGTTGCAACTACCTGTAACCATTGCTTACGGCTCTGTGTCCCGTGTACTGGTGCGTGTGCCGTGGAATCAACTGGGTAGCGCTAGTGTAGTTATCTCTTTGGAGGGTGTGTCGGCCCTTGTTGTGCCTAATACCGAGCGACCTAGTCCAGCAGAGCTATTGCAAGCTAAGCACAATCAGTTGGATAGGCGTGAATTGTTACGTCAGCATCGTCGTTTTGCTTCACGTGTAGCGTCTGATGAGAAAAAAGAAAAGCAACAGACGACGAAGTACGAGGAGGACGAAGGCACGTTTATATCAAGATTAACGGCTCGTATTGTAGCCAATTTACAAGTGAAGCTATTTGATGTGCATTTGCGATATGAAGACGTGATAGCAAACCCTGAGACGCCGTTTGCATGTGGGTTAATTCTTAAACAATTTGGGTTTTATACGACAGATCAAGAAGGTAAAGAGGCGTTTGTGGATCACACCATTGTCCATAAAGGATTTACTTACAAAAATGCAACATTTACTCGTTTGGGGGTCTACTGGGATCGATTATCCACTAAAAATGCACGTCTTGAGACTAAAGATAATGTACAGAAGGCGTTAAGAGATATGTTGAAGCCAGAGGAACTCGATCGACGACAATGGGTTCTGCAGCCATGTTCAGTTGCTGTGCATTTAACAAAGAATGAGAGTACAGATTATTCGACTGTAGCTAAATACACGATAGAGGCTCAAATCAGTGCGTTGCAAGGCCATTTAACTCGTGAGCAATATCAAGATGGAGTATTTGTGCGACATGCATTTATCGGCCGAAAAGCAGTCGAAGCACATTTTATATTGGCAAGAGGACGACCACTTCATCCTCCTGGAGCACGTCCTCGCGAGTGGTGGGACTATGCGACTCGTCTCGTACTTGAGCGATTGCACCGAAACGCAAAGAATGAAGTGATTGAAAAGAAAAAAATAGTTCGAACTTTGCATCACCGTAAAATGCGCTGGTCTTCTATCCATCAAGCCATGTTAGAACGACAACTGTACATCGAAGCTTTTCGTACGGAAATACGTCATGGAGCAGCCTTAGATCGGTCGACTCGAGAAGGAAAATTAAAGCATCGATACGAAGAGATTTACCCTATAGACGTGATTATACTGTTACGAGATATTGCTCAAGACGCAGAAGAACGACGAGCAGCAACAATCCAAGCCTCATGTGTTCAAACTGAGCAAAAAGGAGGGTCGTGGTACTCGTACTTCTTTGGTGAAACAGAAAGTCAAGCAAGTGAAGAAGACAACATACTATCTGCTGAAGGTCGCGACAATCTACGGGAAGCGTATAATGATGCAGTTGAGAAATCCAATAGTGCCCATGAAGTACCAACAGGATGTAATCTTCTGTCGATTCGATTCACATTAAATGAGGGTACGTTGGCGTTGTATCAGTCCAGCACACAACAGACTCCGTTTGTCACTGGTATAGTTCATGGATTCTTGGCAATGAATATTCAACCAGAAAGCGAATGGGACGCACATATATGTGTGCAGAATTTCAAAATCTTAAACGGTTTAGCGTGCGATACACGCTTTCAATCCTTTTGCAGCCCTTCAACGCTTAGTGTCGACCCAAATGAGGCCTGTGTAAGCATTGACGTAAGTCGGCGAAAGCTACTTTATACGACGCAAACACAGGACATGGACGCCGAAGCAATCGTGAAACTGCGTGTAAGCTCGCTGCCATTTCGAGTGCTCATTGATCCAACCTTTGTCTTCTTCTTGCGGGCGTTTTTTTCAAGTTTACTACCTGACAAAGAATTAGAAAAGGTGTGGCACTTTGCAACTTCGTCTGTCGCTGAGTGGATGTTTGCGAATGACACGAGATATACCGACGCGGTCGCAGAGAAAGAGGCGCAAGAAGCCGAACTTATACATTCGCTTGAACAAGCACATGACCGGCTTTTGTACGATGTTGTCGTGGACTTGGAAGCTCCAGTTTTGATTTTGCCGGAATGTGTGGGTGACATGACGGGGGCAGTCGTAGTGATAAATTTAGGCAAACTAAGTGTTCGCAACGAAGACAAAGCGGTGTTGCTTGATTCGCAGTTCGATACGATACAGACAAAGGACGACCGTTTATATTGGCGGGTTGAAGTGACTCAAGTATTTGTTTCGCTTGGACGTCAAGAGCAATTGGTCTACTGGACGGATCAAGAGCTTAACGCATTTCGGAAAATTGTTCAGGATCTGTCCATCCAGTTGTTGTTGGATACACGGTCCTCATCTTCCCCACGGCTTAATTTTCATTCAAGAATGAATAATCATAGAGTTGATGTACGACCCCATGTGGGCATATATGCCGAAATTCCTATGATAGTCGTTTCGTTGGCTGAAGAGCAACTTGTGGCGTTGAGTCGAATCTATTCTTCACTTGTCACACAAAGTGCCAAGCAAAAGTCTATCGCATCTGTCATTCACCAGCATGACGAAGAGATTAGCGGCGAGACTATAACTGAGTCAAGGACTTTTAATGACGACAGTATAACGGCAACACTCGAAGTCGAGAAGTTTGTTTTTGAGTTGAAATTGTCGCTTGGATGCGTCGAGCTGGACTTGTATGAGTCTTTTGACAAAGAGGCTTTTCTTTTACGAGCCTCTAACTCTTTGTTTGCTTTTGAAATGTATTCTACACATCAAAAAATTCATGCACGTCTTGAAGCATTGGTGATGGAAGATCGACTTTATTTGCCTGATTCTAGCTTTTTCCAGCTAATTTCAACTGGACGAACGGGTAGTAAGACGCCGCATTTAATTGTTGTAAATATTGTAACATATTCGCGGGACACGACTGTCAAACGTACGGTGTCACAGCTCGATGCGGATGTACATTTTAATGTACTACACGTGCAATGGAATCCGTCATCAATGGCGCTACTCTACCGTCTTCTCTCATCAACAGCATCTGCATTTGACATTCCTGGAAACGTTGACACAGCTCAAGATCTCACCTCTCCTTCCTTTCAAAATCAAACACCCGACAGTAGAATTGATGCCGCTCCAAAGAAACGCGTTGCAAGTCTGTCTACGTTACGGAGTCGTGCTCATCCTATTGTGGTCGTTCGGGCTTCGCTCGTACAATTCAGCGTCACACTCAATAAAGATCAACAAGACCGGCAATTGACACGTCTTGAGATGACTAACTCTGCAATTAAGTACATACAATATGAGGCCAAAACAGGACACGACGCGTATGAGGTGACAGGATATGTCGGTAATTTTATAGGTACAGATCTAAGTACATCGAAACATCCTCTGTACGCTACACTTATTGGGCTTGATGAAGACGAAGCTCGTCGTTTTCACTCTCCAAGAGAATTCAAGGCGCTCGCAAGTTTTGAGTATGTCAGTGACTCGATCGTGAGTGATAAGAATCGATTGTGTCTGTCGTTTCTACCCATTCGCGGTGTATACTATCATCAACAGATCTTAGAGCTCGTCGACTTTATACTTGAAGGAATTCTTGGCGCGATCGTCAGTCAAACACTAAGGAACGCGACGCAGCTCTTACTCCGTGAAGATGAGGCTAGCACTGTGTTACACCTAAATGTAGAAAAACCAACGTTGATTCTACCTTTAAGTTTACAAGATGCGCCTCATGCGAAGATTACAGCAGACAAGCTCCGATTAGAACATCATCCTTCAAGTACCGTGCATTACGATGGACCTCCAGGGGCTAGGTCGAAACGTGTTTTACATGACCAAGTGCCTCCATATGCCATAATTCGGTCTCAAGACAGCGTTTCGTTGCGCGTTGACTGCAAAGATCTTTATCTTGAACAGGTTCGGATATATTGCACGAGTCAAAAGCAAACGAGTTCCAACCAAGGATTGACGTATGAAGATCTTATCCCACAGCCTACGAATTTGAAGATTAGTATCGAAGATCTTGTGTCGTCTGTCATCTCGTTAGATCAATCAACAAATGATCTTCTTCCGCGATTTACCGTCCATTCAGTGTTGCCATCATTAGAAGTGCAGATTTCACGCACAAGTTATTTAGGGATAGTGGCGCTTATCCTGAAAAATTTTGGTGCGGACGAGCTACAAAACTCGCTGCCATCATCTTGCGAGAGCGGACGTACATCGGACAAAGTTGCATCACATCGTCCCATAGTGACGTATACATATCTCCGACCAGACTCGGATCAAGCGACACTCAAAGTGTGCTTTCTGATAGAAAATATTCGGATCTTGCTATTTCAAGATGAAATGTCGTCTGTGCCGTCCGCGTCTTGCAGTGATGGACATACTTTCCAATCACACGCGTTCGCGGACGTCATTGCGACAAATTTTTCTACAGTGTTTGATGACGAGTATGATAAGACTCCCTGCTTATCGATTAATCTTAGCGCCTTTAGTGCACGAGACCTGATGGGAAACTACAGTGACGGTGGACACTGTCGTACTTTAATGGCGTCTTCTGAGCCACTTGAAATGCAATATACTTGGAATCATGCGGCATCAACTGGAGAATTGGACTTAACCCTGTTAAAAGTCACGGGTTCAGTCTGCTTGGAACCTCTGCTTAGAATTTCGGACTTTTTTTCTCTACCGACAAGTTCAAATCAGTTTGAGACCGAAGACGAGAATGAATCAAATAAATTGTTGCCTTACGCAGCTCAAAGTATTCAGCCGTCTTCATCAACACGAAAGGAAAGCATTTCCGATATTTTAAGAGAGAGCAAGGACACCGATTTGACAATGACAATCCGTGTAAAGGCGAAACAAGTTAGCGTGGCCCTCCCACGAAATGCATACGACTCTCAAAGTCCACGCGTAGTGTTTACGGGCGATTTTACACTCGAATCTGTTCGGAGACCACAACCCATTGAAAAGATGAATACGAGTGATCTGGACATTCAAAGCAGAGTTCAATTTGATGCACTAAATATGGAAATTGTTCTAGAGAATGCCAGGCGCCCAGGTTGTTGCGTCGCATTGCCGTCAGGGAATGGCAAATATGATGCTATCGATGTGGCGCCGCTAATCCAACTCCTAGAGCCAAGTTCCTTGCATGTGGAAGTAATACAATTGTTTCCCCATGAAGGACAACGGCAGCAGATTATGTCGCTTAAATTCACTCCAATTCAAGTTTACGTTTCGTATGAAGACGCGTGTATGGGTGTAGAGACGATTGACACATTAAGTAAATCGTTTGAGCAACACAAACAACGAATTGCAGACCTAAGGCGGTTGTCATGTGATGAAAGTTCCATTTATCATTCGTTGACAAAATCGCACACGTCGTCCAAGGAGTTTACGACTCAAAACTTGAGAGAGACAGAAATTCATCGATATATAACATGCGAGTTACCTTCCGTGAGTCTGACATTGATAAACGACTGCGACGGGTGTGATATGGGCCTTGTACAGTTTCAGATTGAGCAGTGCCATGTATTTCTGAACGTTACGTACGCGATTAGTCGAAAAGAGACGACAAAAAGTAAGTCTGCTGGCTTAATCGCCCCTGACGCGTTTGCCATTACAACTACATTATCTGGAGGCGGAAACCTTCTCGTTCTCATGTCGTACTATAATCCAGAAACTCGTGATTGGCATCCCATGTGTACAGAATGGGCCCTTGCAGCATCAGTTCAAGGCTTAGTCGCAAGCGATAACGAGCTGCACGTCATTCTTACTGCATCACAAGCTCTCGATCTCACGATCACACATGGATTGCTGGAAATGATGGCGTCGGTTGGAGGCGCATGGAAGCGTCAAGCAGAATTGTGTGAACACGCTCACGAGAGCAAAGACTGCGATTTTGAGCAGCGTAAATCAGCGCCGTGTGTAATCCGTAACGAGACGGGATTGTCTTTAAGTTTTTGGCTCACGAACGAGACATTTACGACCGAACCGCATGTCGTAGATACTGGAAATTTGGCAGATGTCCGGTATCTCCATGCTCCAGGTCGAGGCCGCGGTGTGGTGCGACGTTATGCGTCAGGAGAACGAGAAGCAGCAAATTTACGACTGTGTATACAATTAATGGACTCGAAAAACGGGGTAGCGCGTTTCCAGGCGATTAGAGGTCTTGTCTTTGAGGAATTGAATACTCGGACGTTTCCTCTTGTGGACATACAAGGACAACGAACGAGTTTTATGCTGAGTTTATCATCCCGACTAGTTGAAGGACGAATCTTACTTGTCGTATCGTCACCTATTAAATTAGTAAGTCGACTGACGGTTGGCCATGCTGTGGCACTTCTTGTGAATGATCCGACGTGGCATTCGCCCGTCAAAATCGGGATGCTGCGGTCAAATCAAGAGTCGGCTGTCCCCGTGCTTTTGTCTTTGGCGTCGGAACTACGTGTGCGGCCTGTCGAAAATGGTGTCACATACGCATGGAGCGCTCCAATTCCAGTGCAGACGCGTTCGGCTGCTGAGTTAAAAGTTGAAGCAGCCGTCTTACATGGATCACCTAGCTGCCACCGAACAGCCGTTTATTGCGTATTGATGTCGAGTAGGAAGGACGTTCGCACCGTGTCATTTGCTGAGCCATTAGTACTCGTAAACAAACTTCCGGTTATGGTATCGTTTCGTGTCCAGTCCGCTTACAGCTCTGCGTACGCGACAAATGAAAGCCTGACCGAGTTTCAAGCAATCGCTGTCGGTGCAACAACCAGCATCTGGTGGACGGACGTAGCACAGCGTCCACTATTTCAACTAGAAGTTAAAGGTTGTACGACACCTTCCAAATGGCTCGAGCTTGCCCCTCGAGGGACTGTAAATGGCGCCGTCAAATCAGTCCAGCTTGAACGAGTGGACGACGGACGTCCATTCCAGCTTCTCGTTCGTGTTGTAGGAGGGACTGAGTCTCCAGCTCGTCCCGTACGTGTGGAGCTACTAGCAAATGTCTGGATGATAAATCGTTCCGGCCTGGAGCTCGTCTATGGTACTACGGCAGATAATGAAGCATATTTACCACCTTATGCAGCACGTGCGCAAGTGGGCAATGCGCAAATCAGTGCTTATTCGAGTGACGGTAACGACAAAGTGCCAGTGCTTCGCATTGGATTGCGGGGCTGCAATTGGTCAGCTCGCTTTGAAGCCGACCCAAAGCGATTAAGCTGGCAGGATGAATGCTTAACGCTTCGGTCAGCAGGAAACAATGCGTCTTCTCGTGGTGTCTTGTATGAACTGGGCGTGTCAGCAGATTATGCCACGCGGCATTTCGGCTCTGTCACGACACTTGTGAGCGTTATTCCCCGATACCTGATTATAAATCGCTCATCGCATACTGTGTTGCTTCTTGAGGCGCCGACACGTCGGTCGCAACGTCTTGACGATTCCAGAAATGAAAATATAGCTCATCACGTACTGGGGTCTGGAGACTGGTATGCGTTATATTGGGTAGGAGGAATACGAGCCCCATTGCGTGCTTCCGTCCTACCCATCGACAGCGCTTTAGCATCCTTTTGTGCTGATGGCTACGACTGGAGTTCCGCCTTTTTTGTTGATCAAGTGGGTATCACAAATATAGTTGTGCCACCACGTTCGAGCGGACGTGGTGTAGACTTGGAAATCACAGTGAAGCGAGGCAGTTTCTCTCAAGCAACATTTGTTGTGGAGATAGCTGACACAGATCCAAATTTAGCGCTGTCAAACGTAGCCTCGGCAAATGCAATTGCCCGCACAAGAAGTTGGCAAACATTAACTCTTCATGCTCAAGTCGTAGGTATCATTCTCTCTGTCACGGACAAAAAACCGGGTGTAAAGGGTGGATTAGAAATGGAGCCGATCGCGAGAACAACGTTTACGCGAATTAACTTGGAGTTGACGTGGTCGCCACGAGCCACGGCTGCAAAGTTGAACCTGATGGGACTCAAAGTGGAAGATCTTTTGCCGCAATCGAAGAACCGAGTCGTGTTGAGACCACTCCGCCAAGACGAGAGTACAGATAAATCATTTCTCGAACTGACGTATCTCGAGCGACCACACGGCAAATACACGTGGGTAGAGCGTGTTCATTTAGAGCTACAGGATGCCAAAATTTCAACTTCCATGAGCTTTGTCGATCGTCTTCAAAAGTTGCAACAGAGAACAAGTGCACACTTCCAGCAAAAGTCACTTGTCGCTGCTTTTCCGAGTGAGCAGGACGCATACATAGAGAGTGAAGAAGAAGAATTGCTTGCATATTTCGTACATTTTAACGATGAAGGACAAAGTGCCGATTTGGCAGCAATGACGGGTAGAAAATTGTACATTGCGTCAGGCGAGATCTCGCCCGTGCGTGTAACTGTCAGCTTTACACGCGATAAGCGTGACTCGAGTCAGCACCAAGGTTTTTGGATGTCAAATATCAAGCTGAAAATTGAAAATGCATGTGTGACGCTCGAGGGATATCGACTGTCTCGCGCTCTAGCGACACAAGAGTCACTGTGTGCGGCGATTGTGCGATTCTACGAGCAGTCGGTCAAGTCCCAAGCGCTCAATCTCATCGATTCAATTCAGGTGACATCGCTTGTGTCGAGTATGGTCACAGGTGGTGTTACATCACTCGTATCGACATTGCGAGGCAAAGTAGACCCGGCTGCCGCTGCCGGTGCCTTATCCCCAGGTTTGCTTACGTCTAGTGTGGACACCGACACGTCATTGGGCGCACCGTTTCGGTATGAGCATCTGTCAAACGGTGATATTGTACGTAAACACTCACGAGCTTTGGAAGTCTGCAGCAATAATGCCGAATTTTTGCGGCAAGTGCGCCATTTGGTTTACGACTGGGATGCCAATCACACAGGCTTAGGGGCGCGTGGTTGTGTTGCTCTGGCACTGGTCAACAACTCGCGCCACTCATTCGTAGTAAATACACAACTCAACGACGGCGCGTCACTACATATGATCCCGCTTGGACGACGACACTTGGCTGGCGTCTTGGATACTTTGACCATCGATAGTGGCACTGTAGCAGTTAACGGCACCAATACGTGGCGAGCTGATCGTGCTCTTGTTGTGTTTGCTTACGGCTACACGCCAACACTGCTTTCGTCAGGTGATGTTTACTTTACTGTCCAATCGAACGCTTGTAATGTGTATGCGACGCGCAAGACTGCTCGCCTGAAGGCTAATCGTGGGTACACGGCCACGTTTACGCTGCAAGAGGTGCAAAGCTGGTGGGCAGTGAACGTCGTGATTATTGGTGATGATTTGCAGGCTAATAACAGCACGACATCCGACTCAGACACAAGAGTTGAAGGTGTCCTAACAGCCACTGCCAAAAATGATTTAGACGATGAAAAAGAGTATGAAGTGAAGTTTACAAGTGCGTCATTGGGGCTTATAGCTAAACAAAGTGGACGAATGGTGATTGTGCGTGAGTGCGTACCATCGAGCGCGGCCGAAGTTTCAGGACGGATTACGGCTGGCGACTGCATTGTGTCCGTTAACGGCATTAATGTGGCTAATACGTCGCAATTTAGATATCTTGTTTCTCGAACGCCCCGTCCGATTGTGCTGCGATTTCGGTCGACTGGACGCCAATCAAACGCGGCGTACGATCTCTTTGGTGAAGCCAAAGAGAATGAAGCTAAGCTGTTTGGTTAAACCTTTACGAAAAGCTATATCACAATTATAAAAGGATCTATTTTAAAGTGTACATTCGCGGCGTATTGATCAAAATGAAGAGCGCGATCACTTACTTGCCAGCACGTTTTCGGGCTATCAGAGACAAAAAACAAATAGAGCATGTGCATTCGGTGTCCTTAAAACTTAAAGTGCTGCGTTCGAAGCGAGTAGCTCAATACTTTCATGCTAAAGCAGGCAAGCGAGCGCTCGTCTCAGTTCTTGGCAATGCAGTTTCGCCAATTTTGCACTCATTGCGCCAGGTCGGAACGGACATCAGGAAAAAAATGGCAACTTTATTCGCATATCCGCTGAAATGGACCCAGAAGCTGTTGAGACTGATTAGCAAAAAGCGTGCACCGACTACGCTGCAGAAACAGCAAGAGCGACCGTGTGAGCTGCTTGCCGAATCGAAAGAGAGTGACTGTCGACAGCAACGACGTCGCATGTACAAGTCTGTGACTCGAGGACTCGTTAGGCTGGGGCGATCGGCTATTGCTCTCGCGCAAAAACAACGACGAACGGAATATGCGGCGTACTTAGCGCAAGAAACCGTCAAGATCATTATGAAAGCAGGAGCAGAAAAGATTGCTGCCACCCGCAAACATGAACGTGTAGCAAATCACGCTATTGTGCTTCAAAGATTATGGAGACGAAAGAAAAACACTGAGCAAGTAGTTAGCATTTTGAGAGCACGATTAGCAACCTACTTCAAAAAGTTGCAACTTGATTCTGCTTATGCGATCAGACAAAAGCGGCTTGCGATGCTGAATGAAATCAGCGTCGGCATAACGAATTTTTGTATTTATCACGCACTGCAACGTTTAGCCGCACGTCTGATTCAACGAGTGTGGCGTGGTTATTGTACCCGAAAGCAGCTACATCGGTCGCTAACGCTAAAAACGTGGAAACAGAAGAAGGCGAACCGTTTACGGCAAACTGAACGTCTTCGTGGCGCTCGCGATGCATTGCTTAAGCCCTCAGAACGAGATCGAATGCGCCGGGTACAGTTGGAAAGACGAGTGCAAGCACGTTCGAAAGAGTTTTCGCCTAAACGAGACCTGTATTCTCAACGACATGGCGAGCGGGCTCATTTCTTGCAACCATTGCCTGTACAGTCGAGGCCACGCACGTCGGTGCAGCGTGTCCCTTTCAGTCGTTTTGAAAAAATAGTGGCGCAAGGTGCTCATGTGAATCTGGGTAATGTTTTGGTCGCAATTCCAGTCGGGCATGAGGAAGTATCAGGACAAGTGAGACCAGGAAGGTTAAGTCCATTGCTTGTAGGGAAAGGGTGTAGACAATTGAAAGGTACGATACACACAACATACGACTGGGTACCAGCTCGTTTGCTGCAGAGAGAAGATGAACGAAAGACGAATGAATTACGCTGTCGTCATCGCTGTCAACGAGGATCCATGAACACTTTTAATCACGATATTAAAGATTAAATGACAACGCTACTGTGACTCGACACGACAATAGGACGAATCTGTTGTTCGAAAAGACGTAACAGCTACTTTACAAGGTACGATTTTTCTCTACATACTTAAGGAAGCACGGGGCATGGAGCTTGAGGATCCACTTTTAATTGTTTGGCTTCCAGCAAACACGATTTGCAACATACCACGAGCACTGATTGAGAACGGATAAAAAGTTTGCGCTTGACATGGCACTTATTGCAAACCCCTCGAAGACAAACACCACAGATGCGATGAGTCGCTCCAACGATCGATGCCATTGGTTTCTTGTTGCACACGCAACACGGCTCGGCTGACGTTTGTCGTCTAGATCGCGTTTTCCGATTGCCTTTAGAAAGCAAACGAGTGAGAGACTGAGGCATTGTAGTTTGGGTGTTGATAGTATCATCAGGGGTCGAATTCGAATACCCGAAATTTGTCACATCGCTCGATACCTCAAAATTCTCTAACGATCGAGTGGACAAATCATGAATCAATGATGAAGTTGCTTGATTCGTTTGTAGTTTGAGAGCTAAAAGCGTAAGTCGCTTAGTTTCGGCACATTCCATGGCTCCGAGTACCGAGAGCATTAAAGAGCACGATGTGTTATACACGAGAAACGATGGGATGTCACCCCCCAAATCAAACATTCCTTTGCTGTACACGTCCACACGCTGTGAATTCGGAGTCTGACGGTAGATACAACAGAACATCACATGAGCTCGAATGACATCGCCACTGTCAGAGGGGATTGGACAATCAGTAAAGTCCACACTTTGAAGCACGTAGTACCCGTAACGCTCACCGTGAGCATCGATACTGATCCCTTTTGATTCAAGCGTGCATAAATCGCGAGGTTTCATCAACTTTGTCCCCGAGAAAGCGTCAGCAAGATGCCACTTAAGAGAGAGTTGATGGTACGGGTCAATCGATGATCCTTCTTCGATCAACGCGAGTACTGCACATTCAACCTCTTCTTTGACTAAATACGGCAACGTCATCTGCATCTCTTCACCAGTCTTAGAATGAAATCCGTAGAGAATGTCTTCAAGGTCTCCATCAAGCGAACCGACACAGAGAACCATAGGTCGATTAGTTTGTGTAGTGGATCTGCTAATCTTTGCTGTTTGAGATTTTTTTCGCTTGTAGACACTGAGCTCGTCCTGACGCTTTAACAGCTTCCAATCACGTACGTCTAAGTTCGGACATTGCATGCGACGATACTCGCTCTCATGCGCTAATGTTCGAGAGACGATACTATGGGCGAGATGACGAAACGCTTGAGCCTCGCCATCTTGGAGTTGCCTCGGCAAAGTTTCCATGAACAAGTGAACAGAACTCGATGCGTACTTAGCAAAATGAGGCGGCTCTTGCAGTTCTTGAGATGTGGTAGCTCGCCGTGTGGTTCCTGAGGTCAGAACTTGGTGTCGAGTGGACACTTTTCCCGGCATGATGGTGGGTTGTCGTGAATCGTTTGCTAACTACAGGAAAAAAACGAGTGAGGTCCACGCGTTCGCCATCGTCGGGCTTTTTAGAGACGGCAACGCAACATCTGCTTCATGTGGTAGGTGCTCCATTGAACTTGTCATCAAGTTTGCAAAATCGGCTGGCAGGTCAGACTGCGGTCAGAACGACAGGTTTAGGCCAAAAAATTAAACCGTATGGGTCATTTTATTAGAGGAAGGTTACATAAAGGGATTCACAATGTATGACTTTAAGAAAATCTTTCAGAATGGATGAAGAAAAGCTATCAAAGTTTCGATCGAGAGAGCATGTTTTTCGGTTACGACAATAGGGCATGGAAGCATAAGGTTACAATGCTAACATCTTCGCGTTAGCTAGCAGTAATTAGAATAAAATTTTGGTAATTTGAAATATGATCATGAAAGAGATAGAGCTCTTCGAACACCCAAAAGATCCGATTATGCAACCCCGTAAAGGGGTGACTATTGTCCGCCGAATACTAAAGCTGCGTACGCTATTGCGCATAAAATTCAGCTTTTACTTGTTAAGAGTACTTGATTAGTCAGACAAGCATTTGGGCAAATGTGCAGGCTATAGTACCATGACATACTTACCGAGTCTTAGAGGACGCTCTGCCGCCAAATGTTATCGAGAGCCGTCCAGCACAAAGAAAAGTATAGCCGTCTATCAAATCTCACGAAAACAAGATACTATAAACGTGTTTTCTGTGACGAAATTATACTAATAAGTCCAACAGATTGCAAACACAACGTCTTGGTTTTCCATTCTTAAACATTATTGAACCAGATTCGAATATTATGCGACAGACACACATCCTGCCAATTAATTAACACCGCCTTGGAGTTGTCCATCTACCATTGTGCTTTCCGGATTCAGTTATATTTGTCATGTACGTACTTGTCGTTCATTTTGCTTGATCGTACGTAGCAAACGTTGTTCAATATTTTCATAGGATGGGAATTTACAGTTCGGTTGTTGAATGCTTTTGGTCCATTCGAGGAATCAGAGTACGGTATTTGCACAGAGCAGTACGCAATTAGATCACAAACGGACCACTACAAATATAAAGTCAACTGTGACGTCTTTGGTTAAAGAGCTCACAAGCAGATATTGTTCTATTTTTCTTACAGATGACCAGTTTTTAAAAAGTTCCATGATCTTTTCCTTAACATGGTGTGTCGAAACGCAATTATTCAATCATTGGCTCTCAGTAAACCCATACGAGAAATCGTCTGGAGCATAAGAAATTGCGATCATGTCTTTGCTGACGCTGTCACTGCCGCCAGCTCCCCTGGGCGCCAACGAAACTAATGTTGTCTTAGGCCTTGGTGGCTACTTCACGCAAAAGCGCGTTGAAAATGTAGGTCGTGCCTTTAATAAGCGCGCTCGCAATATTGCGCGCGGTCGCTCGGCCAGTTGTGAGGACGTGGACGACGCGGTAAAGGCGCGTGATGCTCTGCGTAAGCACGAAGAGTCGGTCTTGCGCAAATATCGCCGCAGTATTCGTGGCAAAAACTTTCTGGATTTGACAATGTACCAGCAATTGGGCTTGGCGGACGTCGGCTTTGATGTGACAGATGAGCAGGTGAAAAAGGCATACCACCGCGTCTTGATTGAACATCACCCGGACAAGACGGGCAAAACAGAAAATGATCCCAATTATCTGGCCGTACAGAAAGCATTTACGACGCTTATGGATCCTCAGAAGAAACGTGCGTATGACTCTCAGTGCGATTTTGACGAGTGGATTCCGACAGGCAACGAAAAGATTAAGGAGAATGATCCGAATGGAGAGGGAAAGAGCTTTTACGAGCTTTATGGATCCGTCTTTGCAGCCAATGCTCGTTTTAGTGAGAACAAACCTGTGCCCGAATTGGGTGGAGACGACAAACCTATTGATGAAGTGTACGCGTTTTACGACTTTTGGAACAAATTTGACTCGTGGCGTGATTTCACGCATGATTCAGAGCATGATGTAGATTCGGCTGAGCATCGCGATCATAAGCGTTGGATGGCCAAAAAGAACGAGGCAGCTGCTAAGAAGAAAAAGAAAAAAGAGTACGCTCGGTTGGCCAGTCTTGTGGATCGCGCATTGGCCAATGATCCGCGGATCCGTCGTATCAAGCAGGAAGAGAAGGATCGTAAGGCCCGTGCCAAGCGTGAGAAGGAGGAGGCCGCGCAACGTCTGATTGATGAAGAGAACCGAAAGAAGGACGATGCTGAGCGCGCTGCTAAAGAAGCTGAGGCGAAAGACAAAGAACTGCGCAAGGACGCCAAGATGGCAAAGGATAAGCAGAAAAAAATGTTTCGCAAAGTAAAAAAGGCATTCCGTGAACTTATGACAGCTGCCCATGAGCAAGGTCTTGAAGGATCCATCGACGTCGTCAAGACGGAGGATTTATGCGACTCGCTCGATATGGAAGCGTTGCAGGCACTTGTGACTGCTTGTGGAGATACTCCCGACAAGTTGAATGCATCAGGCCTGACTGAAGTCATTGCCGCCTTAGACAAAATGCAGTAACATTATAGTTTGCAACTCACCACATCAAATATGACCTGACTTACGCTTTGGCCAGTAGGCTGATCTGAATTTTTTTTTCTGTACGATCAAATGTAAACTAATGCATTTAAAATAGACATTTAGCTGCAATATCGTCCCTCAACAGAATTGAGCGGCGTCATCTCACCAAAAATGACGCTAAGTTAAAAGAACTTCGTGCCATATCCAACTGACTTGAAGATATATTTTATCTCTGCAATACTTATTGCCCTCCAAGATAGCGCAGTAATTACGTCAGAGTACAAGAGTGTGGCAAAATCAGTAAGTAAATTGTAACTGAAGTTTTGGACTTGCGACAAAGATGACACGTTAGTCAGATACTATCTTTGCCATTCCATCATCACAACGTGTTTTGCTTGTATGAATTACTATATTATACAAAGTAATGATCAGAATCGTAGAGCGTAGCATTTGCAAAGCGACGAAAATCGCTATTACCTGGCCAGGCTGGTGATGATGGTGCCTTCGGAACTAAGGTTGGTTGAGGTTACAGATGGCTGATAGGAAAACATTTCTTTGTACTCTTCGACTTCATCATCAAAGCTGTCACCACTGTAGTCTTTCTCAACATATTCGTAGGAATTCGATGCCGCAAATTTGCCGTTTTCGTTTCGTTGCTGCTTCAGCATATTAAAGTGGTCGTCACTATCGGCAATTTCGCTGACACGTTCACTGCCACCGTTACCATAGACTTCGTCGACATTAGATTCCACTTTGGATGCAGCTGAGTCATCGCTGTATATTAGCTACTCCTGAATTCGTTCGAGTTACCATTATAAATCTGCTTTAGCTACTGGCTGATATTAATGTGCGTCGTTTTCTTAAGACATGAGCAACCCTAAAACATAAGTGTCGAGACCATTGAAGAAGTAACTCATCGTAGAAAAAAATGTTCAGCATTTCATATCTACCTTTGCATTACTATTTGCTAGAAAAATTTGCGACTAGGTTAGTTCTCCGTCGTATCTCAAGCGATACAGGGCAATGTATGCATCAATCAAACATCGTTATTATTTAGTCTATATATACATATGTCTATGTATGGTATGGCACTCTGGCGGATGGGGTACACTCGCCGACAAGGATGGATGAGTACAGGAGTTTCTTGTACCTCGGTGGTCTACAGCTTTCAAATTAGCGATTTGAGCTCCTTCTAAGCGCCACAACGGCACAAGGGGGAGCACGGCTGCTGAATATATCGTCGCAGCGGTTAAGCGTATCAACCCGATCTGCGGGCTGCTTAACATCAGGTCGATAATCCACGACAGATCAAGATAAACGCCACACTCGCCTCTTAAGGCGTTACAGTACGTAGACAAGCTGTAGCTACCACATGACGAAGAAGGGCGCTATCACATTTCAACCGCAGATAAAGCGCCACGGATAGCAGAATGAAAATATGGATGGCACTGCCGAAAATCCGAAGAGGGAAACTCGACGTATCAAGTCTCCTCCCAACAAAAGTACTAAAACATGAATCTGTTCGCCCCTACGGAACTCAAACATCAACGGCATCGCTGCAAACGTGCGAACGGTAGGCGAAGTCGTGTAATTCAGTCTTCTCTTGGTTTCCAACGCGGATGATTCCCAGAGCGGCCCAACAGGACTGAGGATTGGGTGCGGCAAAATTTCATGGCCATCCAATTACTTGCTTGCCGTCCAACTTAATCTGCATGGACATGAGGGCCTGTGTCATGGATGAGGTGGTAACTATTGAGGTTCGACCGATGGAACCAGTTGTCCTCAGTTTTGCTTTCCTCGTGTCAATATTCGATAGGATCAGGTTGAAAAAGCTACTCTTAATAGCACATCACAAGTGTGTACTAGATCAGTCAAAAGCCCTGTGAGGCTGTGAATGGGTACTGAAACCCGCGGAGCTGGGATCACAACTCAGTTTGGCTCTGCCATTGGTGCAAGTACATCGACACACTTTTTTTCACACGAAAGAAGCGCGAGAAGTACAGAATAAAGAGGATCACCTAAACTCGTATAATTCCATCTCCACCTCGGCTCTTAAACACGTCATTTGAGATGAAATTTACGGCCTCAGACACAGCACCAGTCGATAGCGCCTGCTTTTTACCAAGATCAAGGGTGGCTGGGATTTCACTCAACCGGATTGCTAGTGCCCTTATGCGTTGATCGAAGCCAGTCAGCTACACATATTTTACGGTTCCGCTCCACTTTATGGATCCAGTTCAGAAGATGCTGGGTCTTTTATCGACTCACGACAGTACCACTTCCAATGACTTCTAATCAGCCATTTCAGCCTTTCAGCCTGCGTTTGCTGCGCGATTGAAGGCTCGCTTCATCCATAAATGTCACAGCGGAACGCGCGGATAGGTCCTTTTTCAGCGCTCCAGTTCGCGTGATAGCAAGTTGTGCTGGAAAATTAGCTTACAGTTTACGCCTAACGTCGTAGTCGATCGCACATGAACACAGGCTAAGCGCTCGCGCTTCATGATCTGGTATTCCACGCGTCCTTGACCTATTCGCCTATCGCCTGATGCGTCAACACCACTGCCGACGGAGCACAGCTCGTAGGTTGGCAACTAAAAACGGTATCCATTCAAAAAAAAAACAGTCTCCACTCCAAGAAACTGGGTACGTCCTGTACTATTGGATAATTGGATCGCGCCCAATGGACTGCATAATTAAGAGGGATTATCCCGTCATCAGCTTTGCCACTTACACTACAACTTACACTACAATCATGTGTGTTGTCGCCACACAATGCGCTCCTAAGAAACTGCTGACCAAGAGTTAAAGCATTCGTCCTTTCAGCTTATTCGCTTTGGGTTGACGTCAAAGCGAGCTGACCAATTGCAACCTCGACAATGAATGCGAAGCACTGGCACTTCGTCGTTACCATCACTCGAATACGCACTTATTTGGGCATTGACCACATCCTCACGTGCTGCATTAGGTGGTGAATATGCTTCATAATCGGCCGTAGTACCATAGACAAGCTTCAGACCGGAACGATTTGCCATTAGCTCCACGAGCCGGAAATTCAATCTCTCCAACAACACGCACGACCCACTCGTATAAGTTGCACTGAT